TAGCATGTAACGCACACGCCGATCGAAGAACCGTGTCGTAACCGATGTTCCACAACAAGGGTTCGAGCAGGAAGTTAAACGCGTTGACGATGTCGATCGACTCACCGCTGACCCCGCTTGACCTACGACGTGCTCGATGGCGTCGATGGTCGATCTTCCCCCTTCGGAAGCCAAATTGGCTGTCGTAGAGGTTGGGTCCCACGCCCGCTAGATGGTTCGAGAGGCGGTCTTCCAGGTCTCGCGGAAAAAGATTGTCGAGGATCTTCTCGAGTATCGCTCGGTCCAGGGCTTCCGTCACTGGGAGCTCCCTTGGCCGGAGTTTACCTAGCACCAGCCGATAGGGCCTTCTCCACGGGTCGCGGTCTATCGTGCCGATAAGCTCGTCCCAGATACGAGCTTTGGCAAACCGTATCATCCATTGAAGGCTATTCGCCTTAGACCTGTACCTCAGGTAAAGCGCCTCTTATCTCGTCGCATTTCGGCGCTTCTTCCTGCGCGCTTGTTGGAAAGCTCGACGAGTCACCGCGCAGCTGTTCCTCTTCTCCTCGATGTCTGGCGTCCACCAATAGACCAAGTCGCGGTGAGCTCGTCTGACGCGCGGCATGGCAGCGCTGCAGATCTCCGTCAGCTTCCGCTGCATCCAGCAGGCCTCATCGATGTCGCGAGCGGAGTGAGTAGGTATTTCCACCCATGCTACGACATGGGCCGCGGCCATCAACATATCTTGATCCATCTTCTTGATTGCCCATCTCGCTGGCGGGGGATCTTCCTGTTGTTGACAATGTCGATGACCGGGGCCTCTTTTTCCTCGGGCGGGGTGGAGATCTATGACGATGTAGAGATGGTCGCTGAGCGACTCCAACTCCACTGCCACCCTCCACTCCAGTACTCTGCGCGCTGCTGCAGGAGAGGCTCACGACAGATCCACTATCGACTCCCCCTGCCAGCGGACACAGGTGCTCGTACAACCGGAGTTCAGCAAACGGAGGTCCAGCTTAGCTGCCCAATCCGTTACCGACTCCTCGCGTCGATCGGTCTGGGGGGAGCCCCAAAGCGTGGACTTCGCATTGAAGTTCCCCAAGACGAACGTCTGTTGCGGCAGTCTGCGCGACACAGTTGCGCAGACTGTCCAACATTTTCTGGAACGTGTGCAAGGACTCGTTCGGAAGGGCGTAAACCCCAGCGATGATCATTCCGCTCCAGCGCGCCACTACGTAGCCACATTCCCTCTCAATCTCTCGGAACTGAGCGGAGGTGTTGGTCACCGTCCTGACCAGTGCGACGGATCCCAACGTGTTCCCAACCGGAGTTGTCAGGGATGCTGTGTGGCTCGGCGACCACAGCCAATCCCGCTCCTCGTTCGGCCATGGTCTGCAAGAGCAGGTTTTGCGCCCTGGCCGAACGATTCATGTTGGCCTGTAGGATACGGCTCGCGTGGGCCATCAGTCCATCGTGTCCATGGCCTCTTCAAGGCCGCCTTTCTTCTCCCTGGTGAATTGTTTCTGCATCCTCGTTGACTACTGCTGCTGGTGATGATTGCTGTTCCTGCCTCTATTGAACCGTTTCCGGCCCTTGCTGTTTCTTTCCGTTGCTGGATGGAGGTTTCCTCTTCCTGCGGTGGTCTGCAAGCTTTACTGCCCAGGCGATGGTCCGCTTGTCTGCCCATGTCCGCGTATAAAAGGCATTTAACCCGGGCGGTGCAATTTCTCGCGAAATGGCCTGGTGTGTCACATCTGTAGCATCGTCCGTTTCTGTCCGTCTCGAATGGGCAGCACTGTGCCGTATGGCCCACCTCCATACAGCGGAAGCACTGCAGCGGCCGCTTGTCCAATGCCTCAATGCGCGCCGAGGCCCATTCTACCAGGAGTTTACCTTATCATGGCGATTTTTCTGGCTGTCGTGGCAGGGCACCGTACTCATACGGACCCCATGCTCATCGGCGTGCGATGGCGGATTTCGCCGGTCTTTACATCCTCCGCGTCACATTTGCCGGCTTTAGTCACTGCCGATACCACCTCGGCCGGGGTGACCGAGCCATCAAGCCCGCTTATGCGGATCTCGGCCATCTTACGTGGCCGAGATACTTTCACGTCTCCATTGTTACTGAACACTTGGCGCAGGCAGCCTGCGAGGTTATCCGCCTTTTCCGTGCTGTTTTGGCCCGGGACCTCCAGTCGGACCGTCGGACCCGTAGTTTCTGGATTCCGGTGTCCTCAAGCTTCAAACTACTCCTCGCCGTAGCCATTATCTCAGCATACGTTTGGCGGCAACCTGGAGTAGCCGTCACCGTGACTGCTGCCCTTCTGAGCGCCCTGGCTGGGCGTGTTTTCTTTCTTGTTTTGGCCTCTCCTTGTTTGGCCTGCTTCGATGGGATAGTTTGGACCTTGGTCCCTTTTCCCTGCTTCGGTGGGGCAGGTTTAGCCTTGGCATCTCTCCTCTGCTTCCTTTCCAGGACCGTGATTCATGTCTCCGAATCTGATCTGGCCCTATCCGTCTGGGCCACCACGGAGGCCCGCGCATCCTGCAGCCTCGTTGTCGGGT